ATAAAAAAATAAAAAATAAAAATTTGGGTTGCCTCCCAAAAAGCGCCTTCCTTTAACGTCTTCGGCTAGACATTATTTTCGGGACTCAACCAATTCCCTTTTTAATTTTTTTCAACTCATGCAAAAGACTTTGTTCTTGATTCTTAATCAAACTCTCAACAATCAATAGTGGCAATTCCGGTACCTGCAAAATAACATATGAATCGTCAGTACGAGTAACAGGTGATATGGTATCAGCTAGAGGAAAGCAATATGATTCATATAAGCTATCTTTAAACTCTAGTGAACTATCAAAGGTTGAATCATTCAAAAGTACAACTTTCAACTTATCTAGATCACTCGATTCAAGATTTTTTGGCACATTAGATTCACCAACACCCATGAAATTACTAGGAGACAAATCAGTTGGAGACTGAAAAATCACAACTTGTTTAGATTCCTCAATGAATTCTCAATCTAACTTAGGAGATTCTGTCAACTCTGTAGCACAACTCGAGGTATCTACCACTGTTTCTGATGATAATTCATCTCGAGATACGCTTTCGCTCACTGAGGACACAAATTGGTCCACTCGATCTGCTAGATTCTTAAGGCTGCTCCTAGTCTCTTGTTGAAACTGTTGAGTGTTCAAGGCAAGTGACTTAACCATATCTTCAAGAGATGAGGTGAAACTCGTGGCATGTTGTTGAGGTTGAGTAGTAAATGGCGTAAAAGGCGAGTAATCACCCCACCACTCAAAGTTACAGCTATCATAAAATCCATCAAAGCTACCTCGTTGCGGCTCATGAAAATTTCCAACTTGAGAATGCCCTTAAGGATCATATAGAAATGTTGGGAAAAAACAAGTTAGGTGTTGGGAGGCGCCACAAATTCCACAAAACTCGGTTTGGCACGTGCTTTCCGTGTGATAACCATTTTTCTCGAACTGCTGAGAATAGAACTCCATAAAATGTAAGCCTTTTGCACAAAAATAATAGTGCACCAAAACAAGTCTAATTAGAAACCAATCCCCGGCAACAGCGCCAAAAATTGATGGGAGTCGAATCCAACAATAATAAATTCCTGCTTTTAAAATAACTGTAGTAGTGGTAAGCAGGGTTGTATCCACAGGGATTGGTTAGACAGTTTATTGATGCAACTCTTCGTGAAAGAAAGAAAAATAAAAATGATGGGGGGTTTTGATGATTTTATCTAACTAAAAAAAATAAAATAACATAAAATATAACTAGAGACGAAAACCAAATGAGTGATTAAAAATAGAGAAAATATCCAACCAAAGAAAAAACTCGTAGAAATGGTTCAACGATTCGATCATGGATGCAAAGATAATTCTCCTACTCTCGATTAAACTGATTATGGTTATTGGTACGACCTAACAACCTATCATTCCTTACTTGTTCGATAATCAGGATGCGATCTCTAACTATTTCTCTAATCAATAGACAACCCTAGATGCGATCATAAGATTTAATCTATCAACAACAATAAGATCTAGAAGGACCACCAATTCTAGCCAACAAACGCATATGTAGGATCATTTAGACTAGATCATATATCTCCCTAAGCATACAATTGAAAACATTTAGTAATCAACTATGCTATTTGCCACAACTAATAGAACAGTCAAACAATTACGGATTTAACATTCCAAATAACAATATGCGTTTCAACAATCGAACAAATGGCCAGTTTGCATCAACAATCAAAACACAATTGATAATATTCAGAAAAGATATATAAATAAAAGAGAAGTAGAGAATATAAATTCAATTAGATCTCACAAATCATGAAGAACCAAGTCTAGACTATTCCATTGGCTGAAAAAATAAATTAATTGTCCATAAACATGGGAGAAGTCTCCCAATTATTCATGAAAAAATAAAAGAGAAAAATAAAAGAAAAGAAAAGAGAAGAAGAAGAGAGAGCGTGCGTCAATTGGGTGGAGAAAGAAAAGAAGAGATAAAATCTGCAGTCTGGTTTTTAATCAAACCAGTCTAATCCTAATCCTAGCAGAAAGTACGTAGAAAATAAAGAGATCATTCTCTCTCCAAAAATATCCTAATAAAATATAATAGTCCATAAATAAATAAATACTCCATAAAGTTTTATTATTTCTCTTTCCAACTCAAGACTCCTTCCTTCTTCCAACTCTCGTAGGAAATTAGCGTGCCCACGCCTTAACATAAATTCGTCTCTTTTGCCCTCCAATCATCATAAAATTTCAAATTCCGAGATATCCTACAAAAAATATAAAAATCAATTAAATTCAACGATTAAGCTCATACAAACACCAAAAAAGTATGAAAAACATGGCAATAAAAATGCCAATAATACGACTTATCATTATGATGGTCATTCCATGCGAGAAGAGTAACTCTTGTTTGAGTTTGTGCTCGTATAAAAAAAATAATATAATGCTCAGCTCGAGTTTGACTCGTTGAAGATCGCGAAAGCTCGAATTGACTTGACTCATTTAATAAACCTAAAAATCTAAACGTGTTTTTCGTGAACACAAATTTTTTTTTTTCAAACAAGTTCAACAAGTTTGTGTATTTTATGAAAAAATAGGCTGCGTCAGCTCGTGCCGTAAGGTGTTGGGACATAATTAAAAAATGAGTAGTTCATGAAAAAACTCACTTTGGTACTTTCAATAAACAAGCTCGCTTAGTTGTTCAAGATTATTTATTTAAGAAAATAAATGAGCCGAGTTTGACTTTCATGAGCAAACAGAGTTGTGTTCTCGAATAACTCATTTCAAATAAATATTTTATTGTTGATCCACAATTTTTTAGAGGATTATTTATTTAGCTTTTACTTACACTATTGTAATGCTGGAAAACTTTCCTTCTTCTTTCTTCTTGTTGTGGAAAACTTTCTTTTTTCTTTCTTCTTGTTGAATACCTGGTGTTTACTATCATAACTCATTCAATACTGCATTAAAAAAACTAGTTTGATTTTATCCACATTGGTTATGATGCAAAGTTCATGAATATTTAATGCATACGTAATAGTTATAGTATAAGTATATAAAAATCTCAATAAGTTTTAAACAGTACATGATGAAAGTTTTAGAAAGTTTCTCATAAGAATTCTATGAAATTCAGAAAATGCATCAAAGTCATTAAAGTTGTATAAAGTCCACTAAAATTACTCACTTTAAAAAGTCTTAGAAAAGTTTTTAGAAGTTTCGGTTAAATATACTTCGATTTGTGACTTATGTTTCTTGAGGAACTTTAATGTGAATTAATAAAACCTTTTGATTTTGCTGCCGAAAGATGTTACAAATCCATTTTTATACTCCCTCCTATTTTTATTATTTGTCGTTTTAAGAAGCAACACGCTAATTAAGAATTTTTTTTCTTACCAATATTAACCCTATTTAATGAATGTTATGGGAAACAATGGAGATGGGATATGAAGATACACTGTGTATTAGATGGAGGATTAAAAATGGAAAAATATGAACAAAATAGCCAAAACGACATTTATTTAATCAATGATCAATTAAGCCAGAATGACAAATAATAAAAATAGGAGTGAGTATTAATTTTTCAATTAAAAGCCTTTTTTTTCTTTTAAATAAAAGCTTTAACTGCGCACTAATAAATCTCCCTTATATATTAATCCATAACGTGCTGAGCCTATGTGGCAGGCTCGCATGCTTCGAGATCTTATGTGTCAAAATTACATACTTCGTTATTAGGCTTGGATAGATTTAATTTACTTCTAATCCAAAAATATTTAGGTTCGAATTATCTATAAATAAGTTGATTATTTATGGTAGGGGTGGGCGCGGTTCGGGACGGTCCTGAATTTGACTTGTCCGAATACCGATCCCACCTTTATGAATCGGTCCATGAACAGTTCGGGATGAGGCACCGTCCCCACCCACGTATTACATGGGTGTTTTACTAGTGAATTTATTATTACAGAAAATCGTGTGAATGTATACAACACCACTACAACGTACTTTCATTTATGATTTCTGTTTGATCGGATATTTTCATTTATGATTTCTGTTAGATCGTATTTAATGACAGCTTATTCTAAGCTTATTATAAATCATATTTTTACTTAATGACAGCTTATTATTTATTTTTGGAGAATTGTACTTATTTGGTAATTTCGCATGTAACGTAATTTAAAGTAAAACCACAACACCTCTAACTAATATATTGACATAAAACAATCTCTGAATTTGTATTTTACTTTTATGTTCCCATGTTCGTTACATAATTATTTCGCATTATCAATTATTTTAACATGTTTGTCACATAACTTTTTTATGTTCACATGTTTGTGGTATAATATATTTCGCATGTCGGTCGCATAGTTTTTCACATAAGTATTTCACACTTTATCAATTATCTTCATTTTGCATGTCGCATAACTTTTCGCATAATATTTTCGTACTTTATCAATTATCTTCGTCTGTCTGTCGCATAATTTTTCCCATCAAATATTTTCGTCTGTCCGTTGCATAATTTATCAAATAGTTGTTTCACACTTTATCAATTATGTTCGCCTAGTTGTCGCATAACTATTTCACACTTTATCCAACTATATTCGTTTGTATGTCTCATAACTTTCTACACAAATATTTCACACTTTATCAATTATCTTTGTCTGTTTTTTGCATAGTTGATCGCATAATTTGTTTCGCACTTTGTGGTGTGAAAAAATTAACTTATTATTTGACAGTATGAAAAACTTATTCCGTAATTTGTTTCGCACTTTGTGGGGTGAAAAAACGCCTAATTGTCGCATAACTATTTCACACTTTATCCAACTATATTCGTTTGTATGTCTCATAACTTTCTACACAAATATTTCACACTTTATCAATTATCTTTGTCCGTTTTTTGCATAGTTGATCGCATAATTTGTTTCGCACTTTGTGGGGTAAAAAAATTAACTTATTATTTGACAGTATGAAAAACTTATTCCGTAATTTGTTTCGCACTTTGTGGGGTGAAAAAAATAACTTATTATTTAGCAGTGTGAAAAACTTATTGCGTCTTCAAAACGGGATAAAAATAGCAACTTCCTCAACAAAAACACAGTACAAACAAAACCTCCAAACTCGAACACATATATGCTTGATATTTAAACAAGGTCAATATACCAAAGTAGCTTTAAATATCCAGTTTTAAAAACATTTTGTCATGTCTACTAAGCCAGCCAGTGTCAAAATATACCTTAAAACAGCTACTGCAATTGATCTTTCATTTCCTGTCTCATTCTTAAATTTTTACCCAAACTTTCTGGATTTAACTGTTGTCATAGAAGAAGGAATCCTCCATTTTCGCTTGCAATTCTTTTTCGACATGTAGCTAATTCACTGTCTTATCACCTGCGCCACTATTTTGGATACCGAAGATCAAATAGATGTCCATTTAGAAAGTTTCTATTCCGAAAAAAAAGGTGAGGGGGAAACAAATCTACCTCTTGCGCTTGCTTTTCTGAGAAGATGAAGAAGAAGGGTTGCTGTGCCAGTTCCTTTTACGTTGGTTGATGAACCAATTGTTAATCTGTTTCAGTTGCAAACCTGTTTCCTGCACCAGCCTTGCCTTGTCTTCCTCCTGATAGATGGCATTATAAGACACAAGAGAAAATAGAATATTAATTCAAGGATTTCATATCAGAGAAATTGGGGTATAATAATTAAAAACACCCCATATATTTAGCTTACACTAGAAAGGGATAAGAAGTTGCCTTTTTAAAATCAATAATAATTGATAAGAAGTTGCCCTGTTCAAATCAATAGTAATCTATCCACAATTAGGTGTAATTAGGAGAAATACAACATAAAGATATGCTGAGGTCTAGTTTCAATTTAAAGAAAAAAAAAAGGAAAAAAATAAAGCTAACTTTTAAAAATAAAAATAAATGCCCCCTTCAAGTATTACAAATGGTTACAGTTGGATAAGGCCACTTGGAATGCGACTGCCACCAAGCTTTCAAGACAGATGTGGTATCTCCGGGCAGTTTTCCGGCTCTCCTTTTCCGTAATATTTCCTCTCTAATGTCCACGATTTTCTCCTTGTAACCCTAAGCCAAAAATGAGTAACTTGTTTAAAATTATTTCTTGAAAAAAAAAAATGGTGACACATTGCAGTGAGCTGCAGAAGCATTCATTCACCTGTTTGAGCTCGTGTTTCAATTCTTGCCTCACACGTTCCATTAAAGACCTCTCGGTCTCGCTTGGTACTAAGGGCCCGAATCCCATGCTGTCAGGCCCGTCCAAAGTTTCATCAAAAAGGTTGCTTTCACTTTCTACTTGCTCTTCGTCATCATCCGACATGGTTGCCCCTGTACCTTCGCCTGGCGACACACCTGTCCAAATAAATTGTCCAGTAAGATCCATGCATTTAATTATGCATGGCTGTTTTGGAAATCGACATATATGAAGGCCAAAATATATACTTCCTTCTATTCTTTTTAAATATCATTTTGTGCTTTAACACATAAATTAAGAAAATTTTTCTTGCCAATATTAGCCTTATTTAAAGCAAATTAACATTAATTAATTTATTTCTTTTCAGCTTTTTTATGTTATTTTTAAAAGAGAAGACTTATCGTATTCCACAACTTTCCTCCCAAAACGTGTAGTGTGTTAGTTAAATGAGGGTAACAATGGAAAAATATGTATAAAAGATCCCAAACGTCATTTTTTTTTATTAATGACCAGTAAAGCCAAAATGAAAAATAAAAAGAATAGGAGGGAGTATAATTTAAAGGAAATAAGAACTATTATTACAGAATTACCCCTCAGGCTAGTTTCTAATAAATAATAGAAGTTTATGGTTAAAAATTACAGATCCCCATGAGGTTGGTAATGGACTAACAAGTCCCGTTCCTAATTAGTCTTGTAAACTTAGAAGAGAACTAGTTTTTCTGGTAACTATGTATGTCAGGTGTAGTTAGTAATTAGAGCTAGAGGTAGATGAAATTGTCTGTGTGAGCTTGAAAGTGGCAAGACAAGTTTTAGTCTATGGCACTTGAAACTATGAAAGAAATATATTTTCATGCTATAGTAGCTAAAACTTTAAACAGTATGAAGATGCACGTGCTACGCACGTGATTTTTTTGTTTTTTTTTTATTAAAATTATTCTATTATTAGATTTAATTTAATAGTATTATATAATTTTCTTTCCTTGTTTAACAAAAATTTGTGTCTTTTATTATAAAATATAATATATAATACTATTAACTGAACTCTATGACAAATAAAATTAAATAAAAAAAAATATTGGTAGAAAATCAAAATAAAATTAATATTTTTTGTGAAATTTTAAATGCTAAAGAAATTTATGTCGTCCTTGATTTTGTTATTTAATGATATCATCATTATTCTTAAAATAATAATCATTATTACTGTCAAAATAATAGTTTTTTAATGTCTTTCTTTTAAGTCATACTCTTTGAAAGATAACTCGAATATACTATGACTATAATTTGGGATTATCATTTTTTTAATTATTGATTGGAAGCTAACACTATGGTTGAATATTTCGTTATCTATTATTTTGATCATAACTGTTGAAAATTCAATTTATTTGCACGTGTAATATTTCATAATATTTAGATATATATTTTCTCTCTGTATATAATGACATAAGAGATATAAATATTTGAAAATATCTTTAAAGCCGTAATTATTTTATAAAAATAAAATTACTTGAAAATTATTAGGAACAATAACATCCTTGATTAATTAAAGGTGACCATCTACCTATATATATTGCTGTAACATTAGTTGATTGAAGGCACCTATATATGTATATTTTCCAAAATAAATTATTGTTGCATTTCTTAAAATTGCATGCATGCATTATCATTTTCATTCATGGATTTCAAGAGTATCTTAAAAGTGAAAAATAAATAACTCTATTTTAGATAAATTATAAAATGATGATTCTTTTATGTTTTCTTTTTATCTTAATATAATTTTTATATATTTGTATAAAGGTTATGTTTCCTACTTTTGAGAAGTGATTTGAAAATTATAATTTATCTATGATTTATAAATAAGATTGACTAATGAAAATAAATTTTAAGTAAATGCATTAATAATTTTTATCCAATTGATTTTAATTGTAACTATATATTTTTTAAGAAGTACACATATTTTGAAATTCAAGATTCACAATTGAGTCTTAAATATTTTATTTTATTTGTATAATTAATCTATTTTGATGTATATTACAACTAAAGTAAATGATAGAGTAATTTATGTAACACACATTATCATAAAAGAACATTCATACTATACATACTATTACCTGGTAAACTTAAATCGTATCATGCATATTGTTTTAGTGAATAACTAAACAAAATAATCCTATTAAGACTCCATATTAATTCACTTAACAAAGAGATTTTTTCCACAAAAAAATTGATATTTTGTATGTTGAATAACTATTTTTGATTCAATCGTTATTAAACATATACATGTTCACTAAATTGTTTCTCTTTAAATTTTTTAATGCTATAACAAAAATATCTATAGTAAAATAGGATATTTGGATGATAATTTCATTAATGCATTATATATTTTTCGGTTATGAAATAAATATATTTTAATTACAAAACCTTAAAATAATATTCTCTCTTACATTTAAAAACTATATTTTTCTTAAATTTTATTTTTAATTTATATATTTGTTTAGATAACTTAACGTCTTTATATCAACAAAGAGAAATTAAATTATTAAATAGGTAACAAAATGATTAATAAGATCATCGATGACCAAAAAAAAAAAGGTAGAATGAAAAACAAATTAATTGAAAAAGTGATTGTAACTATTAATATTTGTAACTCCCTCACAGTTGTGACAAAATCACATTAGTAACCTTAAAAATTAATTATAGCGTATGGAATTTTCGACAACCAATTTTTTCAAGAAACAATTCTCCCTTATAAGATAGTTATTTCAAAATTGAACTTCAATCCATTTCAATTATTCTAGGGATTTAAAATCCCATAGTTAAAATGAGTGAATTTATTTTGATTAATTTCGATTAAACTAAAAAAGAGAGTAGATTATTTATTACATAAAAATTGTATTTTTACTTATAAAAAATGATTATTATCGTATTAACTTGTTATCATGATATATACTTTAGTGGATTTTTACTAAATTTTGAAAATGACAGTGAACATTCACGACCATTCAACTGTAATTAGTATTCAAAATATATCTTAGATTAGAGTTGATAATAATAATTTGTAACTCATTTGCTCACATTTAATTAAAAGACTAATACATTCTGAATGTTGAAAATAAGGTCCTAAATTATAGTTTCATTTTATAAAATTTGAAATTATAAACTCATCATTACATGTATTTTATCTTTATAATAGATATGAGTAAACATTTAAAGACATAGTGATGAAAATAAACATTTTTTTTTTCCGAAACGATAGGGACGATGAAAATAAACATTGATGAAGGTAATTTGTAATTAATATGTATTGAAAATTAAAAGGAATATTTATTATATATTTTAATACTTATTATTACTTATATGTATTACTAACTTTTCTAAATCGTGGAAGCATCATACTACTTTTTTTTTAATTTTTTCTCTATTTCACAAGAAACATATCTACCAAAAATAATGAAAATACAACCACGATAAAAAAAAATATTAATTATAATATCACAATACTAAAATATCCAAAAGAAATAATGAATACAGTAAATATCCAAAAGTTATGTTTTTTTTTTCTTAAGGGTAATTGGAGTTTTAGATTAAATGAATAAAATGAATAAAAAGCAGATATATAAGTTATGATTTATTGTGTTGACTCTATTTTGGTTGCTTATAGGACAACTACATTATAATAAACTAATATGAATAAGTATGTATAGTGATTCTCATTTTCCGTCCAAATAAAATACACCAAAATTCTATAAAAATAAAAAAAGAATAGATATCAATACTAACTTATTTTATTAAAATATTAATTTATAAATTTATTAATTGTAAAATACTATATATCTCATACAGTTCAAATAAAATACATAAAAAGGTAAACAAAATAACATAATAAAATAATAATTGGATATCAATAAACAATTATTATTTTAGTAAAATGTTATTCATTTTTTTTTTAAATCAATTAACTGATTAAGTTATATTAATTTTTACCATGGGTGCAATTTTAGAGAGAAGCGAAAGCTATGGGTAGTCGTCTAGTATATTTGTATTTTTTTTCTTTGTTAGCTATAAAATGTAATATATATACTTTTTAGACATGATATTTAATATTTTTTCTTCATTGTCTTTTATAAATAAAGCCTAATTAAAGATTTTGGATATTTTAGTGGACCGTGAAATGTGGAAGCTTAATACTACCTTTCGTATTTTTCTCTAATTCACAAGGCATCCCCACTATACATAATGAAAATGAAAGTATGATAAAACATAAATGAAATAAAACATTGATGACGGTAATTTTTGAATAATATGTATTGAAAATTATATAAAAGGAATATTTATTATTTGGCTTAATACTTATTAATTCTTATATGTATTACTAACTTTTCTAAAATGTAAAAGCACCATACTACTTTTCTAACTTTTTCTCTATTTCACAAGAAAATTATCCACCATAAATAATGAAAATACAACCACGATTAAACAAATATTAGTTATAGTGTCACAATACTGAATTATCCAAAAGAAATAATGAAAATGCAGTAAATATCCAAAAGTTATGTTTCTTTTTCTTAAGGGTAATTGGAATTTTAGATTAGATGAATAAAAGTAAATATATAAGTTATGATTTATTGTGTTGACTCTATTTTTGGTTGCTTATAGGACAGCTACATTATAATAAACTAATACTCCCTATGTTTCTTTTTAGATGTCGTTTTAATTTAAAACTTCTAAATTACGATTTTAATGGGTTGTGTAATAATCTTATATTTTAATCTTATTAAATTTAGTTTTTGAATTATTAATGGATGGTTTTTAAAGAAAATGATAAGAGATAGAGTTTGTTAAAGAGAATAAAGTTGTAAGAATGAATATAATATTTTCAACAACTAATTTGCAAAAAAGTTGATATCCTACAACGACATCTAAAAAGAAACAGAACAGAGGGAGTACGAATAAGTATGTATAATGATTCTCATTTTCTGTCCAGATAAAATACACCAAAATTCTATAAAAAGAAAAAAAGAAAGAATAGATATCAATATTAAATTATTTTAATGAAATTTTAATTTATAAATTTATTAATTGTAAAATACTATATATATCTCTTACAGTTCAAATAAAATACACAAAAAAGTATACAAAATAACATAATAAAATAAAAATTGGATATCAATCAACATTATTATTTTAGTAAAATGTTATTCCTTTTTTTTTTTTTTTACAAAATCCATTAACTGATTAAGTTATATGAACTGTTTTTACCATAAGTGCAATTTGAGTGCAATTTTAGATAGACGCAAAAGCTATGGGTAGCCGTCTAGTATATTTGTATTTTTTTCTTTATTAGTTATAAAATGTAATATACATACATTTTAGACATGATATTCAATATTTTTTCTTCATTGTCTTTTATAAATAAAGTCTAATTAAAGATTTTGGATATTTCAGTGGACCCTGAAATGTGGAAACTTAATACTACCTTTTCTATTTTTGTCTAACTCACAAGACATGCCCATTATACATAATGAAAATGAAAGTATGATAAAACATAAAGTAATTATAATATGACAATACTAAAATAATAATAATAATAATAATAATAATAATAATAATAATAATAATAATAATAATAATAATAATAATAATGAAATGCAACAGTATGATAAAATTTAAATGAATCTTAATGTCATATTGAATAACAATTTCATTAGAAAAACATTTAGATGACATATAAATTAGTGGTATACCTTAATATGCAACAATTTGTTATTGAAAAGGACAAACAATTTAGAAGGTGATGCTCCAAAATGCGACTATGCATACTCTTGTCATAAATAAATTAATATTTGTAGATGATGAAGAATAATGGGATGAGATTAATATAAATTATATAAATAAAAAATAATTGTATATGACGAAGAGAAAATGAAAGAGTTGGAGACAACTTATATATAATAAAGAAGATAGGTGTGTGGTTGTAATGTGGTTTAAATAAAAGTTATTATATTACATTTATATCTTTCAAATAAAAGTTACATTTTTTTTTCTTAAAGGATATTATTGGCAATTCAAGTTTCTATTTAAATGTGATTGGATGAGTTACAAATCATCATTATCAACTCTAATTTCAAATTACACTTGTCCTTTAAAGTAACATCTTTTGAGAGTAATATGGGAAATTCAAAATTTTCAAGAAACAACTCATCCTTTTAAGATAGTTAGGGTAATATGGATAATTCAAAATTTTCAAGAAACAACTCATCCTTTTAAGATAGTTATAGATATAGATTATAGATAAGACATTGTCTTTCAGAAGATTTCAACGTTTAACAGAGGTACCCAAAAAGAGAAGGAAGTGAAGATTTTCACATAAATTTTGATAAAATTGTTGACAGAAGTAGAATTTAGAGTAAAGATAACTAGAACTCTCAGTTGTGTCATAATACCAACTTCAATAAGTTGACTACGGTCTTTACACTCCAGCTGGGTTTGGTAAATAGAATAAAAAACACTCTTAAGTAGAAAGATGCCCAATAGAACTGAACAGAAGAACTAGCGAACTAAAAGACCGACTTCCTTCAACTGAAAGGGTCTCACTCGCCAAAGAACTAAAAACATCCTTGAAAATTAAATTACATGCCCAAGGAGTTCGGTGAGAACAGCTCAACAGCATATTTCAACAATACCATAATAGTTAGTTCTTATTGAAGGTTGCTACAAACTTGACCGAGTGATGTGATGACAAGCAAGTTCAATACTGTTATGGAATTTGGGCATGAAAATCTATCAAACGGAAAAAATGGAGTCAACCTGCTACAGAATAATAATGTACCATAAGAAATAAATTGACTCAGGATGGCAAAACACCCTCATTCAATCTTATTGATTTCCATTTAGTTGCAAGACCACAATTTGCACCAATAGTTAGCATAAAAAACAAAGAAAACAAACAGATCATTGCACCATTAGTAGAGACACAACTGGAGAGAAAGGAATGAGATAATCATAACCTGTCAAGCTTTGCAACGACTGCTCAAGCTCCCAGCAAGCCATGACTGCTTCCATAGCATGAACACGCACATGTTGCTGTAGTTGTTCTCTAAATGATGACAGAAGCAGAACATAATGTGTCTGCACAAAGGCCAAATCTAACAATTAGGGATACATAATCCAAAAGCATACACTAATTTGATATGACTCAAATAGAATTTCCATAATGCAATCTTTCAGAGGCAATCATAATAGGCAGCGCAACCTCAAATTAGCTAAATTCCACAGATGAATTGCTTGGCTTAGGTCTAATTCATTTAATACAACCTTAAGTGACTTTTGGATCAAAATAAAGAACCCTTCAGTCCGAAGTGCTATCTGGTTGGGACAAGTATGATATGTCCATTGTCAGAGGACTCAACATCCAGTGAAGCTACATCAAGAACGAGATTCTCTAAACCACTATGAAATAGAGTTCCAATTATTAGTGTACTGGAAAACCACTGGAAGCCAATATCCCTAATTACTTGGTTAGAGGGTTCAAGTCCAGCTATATTCCTTTAGGGGGTGATTGTTTATCAATTCACCCCAAAAAAACTCAATCAAAACTCAAATTTAACTCAACTTTTTCACCCAATTTCACTATCTCCAATATTACCAATATAATTAAATAATATCAACCAATCATTCTTACACATCACATCAACTTTAATTCACTATTCATCTTCTCACATAATTTTAACTAACCACCACTTCCAATCATTTTTCTCTTACTTTTACATCATATCAACTTTAATTATTTTATTTTAAATATTATTTTAATATATCCACTAACAACTAACCATACCAACTTTTTCAAAAGTAACTATAGTTAAAAAAAACCAATTAATTTCTAGATCAATTCATAAACAATCACCCCCTTAGGAATCACGACTTCCCACAAATATCATCAAAACAAGGTTCCATGAATTACAAACTGTAATATCTTTTGTTTCAAAATTCCCAAGGCCTATCCTTTCTTGTACTTGGTCCGTCTTGTATCCTTGTTTGACGAAACAAAGTCTTACGAAAATAAAAGGTGACTATATATAATTGCCAAACTTAGGAAATTCATTGCTTAATCATATAACATCAAGATTGACCTTACATATCCATCAAGCTTGGAAAAACAGTAATAATTGAACTCCCAGTTAGATACACAAAGGTGAGACCATTGAATCAATATATGTGTCCTACTTCCAGTAAGCTTGGAAAGACTGCAGTTATTAAAATAAAATAGACTAAAATAAATTACATTGAAACACATCTATCCCCTTTTTTGCGCAAAATACTGTGAATAGACCAAACATCTTAGTTCTAACAGGGTCCAAGCTTTCATCTTTTAACACCAACAATTCCAAAATTTAGGAACAAAAATGCTGCCATTTTCCCAAAGAAAGAAATTAAGTGATGTTAAATATATTCAGAACATGAAGTTCCAATAATATCAGAATTACTAAAGATGAAATAACACAACAGGAAGATTTTCGTAATAACAGTTAATAGATTTAACCCCATAGATCTCACAATTCAATCTTACAGAGAAAACTGCAAAATGCCCTGCAAAAATTTAAGAATTTATACAGTATTTGAATCAAAGAACAGAATATATAAAATACTGCAAGCCAAAAGCCTCTCAAAATCCCGTTTCAAAAACCTAAGAACAAAATTGAATCAGAAAAGTAAAGAAAGCTACAATAATCGCATATCCACTGTTTCAAATATCCATTACCCATCGAGTAGAGAGAGGGAGAGGGAGAGAGAATATGAGCGCACCATGAAATTGTCGAGGTCCTTATCATCGAGGGGCTGTTGACCTTGTCCAAGAACGGAATACTTGGCCACGACCTGCTGTGACTGAGCCAGCTGGGCGTCGATCCTCGGCAGCTGGTCCACTGGCGTTGCTATGCGGAGGCACGAGACGTGCGCCGACAGCAACTGCTCGTACAGCGGATGGTTCAGAATATCCGCTTTGCACCTTTCTCTCTCCCAGTTGCCGCCGCCGCCGCCGCCGTTGCCGTGGCTCCTATCTCCTGCGCCGCCTCCGCCTGGGAGGTGATCGTTGGTGCTGTCGGGCGGGGTAGGTGGGCTGGGTTGACTCTGGGTGGGGAGCCACTGGTGGTGGTGGAGGCCTGAGTTGTTGAGCCAGGCGGCGGCGGGGGCCGGTGGCTTGTCGTCTGGGGAGAGGTGGTGATCGGGGAGGATGGAGCGGAAGACGGCGGCGGCGGTGGCGGAGGGGTGGTGGTTGTGGTCCGGGTAGTGGAGGGGAATTTCTTGGGATAGATGATGGTGGTGGTGGTGGTCCTGAAATGCCATGTCGCTGTGTGTGTGTCTGTGTGAGAGAGAGAGAGAGAAGAGAGAGAGAGAGTGATGAGTGATGAGGGGCTATTATCAGAGCTGACTTATAACACTGTGATTATATAGTAGCTTAGCTGATGCTATTAGTATTTAACATTTCGAAGACTTCCACAGAGAGAAGATAGGGAGGGGCTGCTCCGGTGTCGACAGGAGCATGATTGTTGAAGCTGAGGCCTCAACTTTATTTATTTAATTGTTANTTTATTTTTTTTATAACAACACCGAGGGAGGAGGGTGGGGGCTAAGGCCGAACCCCCAACCTGTATATAAAAAGCTTTAAATGGGCTGAAGAGTCACAAAAGTACAGTTCGATGTCTAAATAAACAACAGTCCAAATGAATAAGAGCAAAAAGGAAACAAGTAAAAGAAAGAAAAAAAAAATACAACAGCTGCAAATAATCATCAAAAATCTGGTTCTAGTCCTGAAAGAGTCCAGGCGAAGAGTCAACATCACGAAGAAGCAGAGGCACCAAAATGTACGTCCGACTGTCGAAATATGAACGATGGGTATCCCATCTGGTCCATCCGTATAAGGGTGTGGAGGCGGAGAGAAATGTCGTCAGGCTGAAGAATACGTCTCTGGGGAGAGGGGGACCCGATGTCAGCAAGGAAATCAGCAGGTCGGTTCCCCTCACAGATGATGTGTGAGATCCGATATCTAATCGACCTAAGTATGGCTCTAATCCGCATGAGTGGATGCTGAATCTGCCAAGTGCCCTGATGGTCAGAGGTCAAGAGTGTGATGACAGCGGCAGCGTCCAACTCAATCCAAATATGAGAGGAGATCGAGGCAACAATCTGAAGACCGATTTGAAGCGCCTGAATCTCTGCGCCATAACTCGAGGAGGCCCGAAAAGGGCATGAAAAGCAATAATAAGGGCGCCGCTATGATCCCTAATCAGGCCCCCACCTCCGGCAGCACGAGTAAGTTGGTCAAAAGCCCCGTCGGTGTTTAGCTTAACCCAAGGCATCTCGGGTTTCAGCCAAACAAAAGCTCTGGGTCGTGGATGCTAGATAGGCGACAGCAGAGGTGGTGTAAGGCGGTGAGGTGGCGTGCAGCCTGTCCAGTCTCTCTGGGCGAGTCTGCCCAAAGCATAAAGAAGGGAGAGATGCCGGCCAACCTGCAAAATAATGTGAGAACACAAAAAAGAGTTATCCCTATGCTTCACGTTATTCCTTTCTGTCCAGGTGGCCCAAAGGATCAGACAAGGAATTAGAAAGCCCATGTGTCTACTGTGTGTGCGGTGTCTGAAATACTCAGAAGCTCAAAGAAATCATCTGTGGAAGGTAGGGGAATATATGTATAATTGGAGTAATGCTCTCACACTCTCCTCACAGTCTCGCTCTCGAAAAATAAATGGGTGAAGGTCTCGGTATGAAAGTCGTCGGTCTCAGCACAACAGTAGCAACGCGAGGGGAAGGAGAATCCCCTTGCCTGCATCACAACATCAATTGATAGGCGGCGCAAAAGGAGGCGCCATAGGAAAACAGAGATGGTCGTGGTAAGTAGGTCGGTCCAGATGGCCCCGAAGAGAAGGTTAGGCCGGTCACCCAGCCGTACTTCCCCCCAAGCCGAGGTCGTAGATAATACACATGAAGATGTAAGTCTCGACCTCATACCGTTCAAACCGCCCTCCGAGATCGGAATCTGCTGGATCTCATCAATCACCTGGTCACTACAGCCCGCTCTTGAACCCAGTATCCTCTCTAGCCTATCCCTATCCCAACCCCCCTCCATCCACAGGTCCTTCATCTGTGGAAAGGGAAGGTGGGTGACCTGCCTAGTGCTCGAGAGGGGACCCTCACCAAACCACCACTCATCCCAAAAGCTAACGTCCCCTTCACCCAGAGTTCAATAAATGTGCTCCTCAGCACGTCTACCAATCATGGTGAGCCACCTCCACTTCCTGCTATCGCGGGCGGTGGCCGTCACCCTACAGGGATGGGAAACACCTCCAGGATAGTACATTCGGCGAAGACACTGAGCCCAAAGTGACTTACCCTCCCTAAATCGCCACCACATCTTATAAGAAAATGCAGTGACGACATCCGAGAAATGCCAGATCCCGAGTCCCCTCTCAGAGTAGGGGCGGCAAACAGAGTTCCACTTCACCCAGTGGACCTATCTACCTCTCCGAGAGCCCTCCCCATGCCCCCAAAAATAACAGGCCAAGATCTGATCTAGCTCGTGAAGAGTAGACTGGTGGGGGTCATGGACAGTAAGGAGGTGAAGCAGGAGGGCGCTGAGGGTGCTCTTGAGTAGAGCAAGTCGGCCCCCAAAAGAGAGGTGTCTGTGAGACCAACCGGAGATCCGGTCAATCATTCTCTGTCCGACGTCAAAAAAAAGGTCATGCGGGAGGTGGCCCTTGTACAAGGGGGCACCAAGGTAGGTGATGGGGAGGTCTCCTCGTGGGAAGCCAGTGCGCTCGTGTACCCAATGGTCCCACTGGTCCGCAATGTGATGATCTAGGGTGAATGTGTTATATTTTGCACACTGACAAGCTGACCGAAAACCGAGCTATAGTGCCTCAGGAGGCGCATGAGCTCAGCCAGTCCATTATTATCCGCACGAGTGAAGATAATAATGTCATCCGCATAAGAGAGGTGAGATATGGGAGGACCATAGCCACGCATGCTATAGGTCATCCTTGGGAAGTCGCGAATGAAGCTGTCAAGGCAACAAGACAGGTAATCCACTGCCAGGATAAAAAGGGAGGGGGATAAAGAGTCCCCTTGCTGAAGACCCCGGGTGGAAGGAAAGAAGTCAGTAGGGCTACTGTTAACAAGGACAGAGAACATGTAGTGCTCCATGCACGCCTCCACAAAACTAATCCAACACTCATGGAAACCCATCTGAAACAGATGAGTTAAGTTTTCATCATGGAAGATGAGTTAAGTCTTCATCGCGGAAGATGAGTAGGGCTGTCTTTCACTTATTGAGCTAGCTATTTTCATCGCGGAAGATGAGTTAAGTTTTCACACCGCCAATTAATAATTTAACTTTTTCATCCCACTAATTGCGAACAGATTATGCAATAAGTTATGCACAGAACACAAAAATAATTGATAAAATGCGATAAACTATGTGGCAAACAAACGAAAAAAATTGATAAAGTGCGATACAAATTATGCGATGATCTATGCGTTAAAAATAATTGATAAAGTGAGAAATATTTATGCGATAAATTATGCCGCAGACACGGTGAAGATAATTGATAAAGTGCGGAATAAATTATGTCATAAACTATGATACAGAAAAGCGAAGATATTTAATGAAGTTCAAAATAAAATATGCGACGAACAAGCTGCTAGAACACGCCGACGAGGTGGTCCTTCCCACGGATCGATATCAGATACCAAAACATGTACATACATGATTTCGAATAACCCTAGGCATGCTCCTAAAGGACGAACAGAGAACTACCTTTCTTCGAGGCTTTGATTCGATCTGAGCGATCTTCTAGTCTGTGTCCCGATCATGTTTGGACGCCGGATGGACGACGATCTACCAAATAGTTGAAAGGAGCGGAATGTGTCTCGTCTTCTCTGAACCCTTCACGTCACTTTCTCCACAATGGTGGCTGAAGAGAGTCACGTCTGTGATAATGCGTAGGGTTAAAAACGTGCAATCCCTCCTTTTATAGAGGTCCTTGGGCCAGACTAGGGATCTCTTAGAAGGTATAGGGTTTGGACTTCCTACGGGCCCAAATTCTTATGTTCAATCCAGAACACAATTTGTCCCGTAAATATTAATTCATTCCACTAGAGAATTAATATTGCACTTTCGTCCTATCCCGAAATGAATCATGGTTTCTATTAGACTCGATATAATTCCCCGTGTTTAAGATATCGCACGTCCATTAATTATTAAAGCTTCTAACTACTTTAATTAATTAATATCTTTTATTCCTTAAGTAGTACCACTCAACCTTATTACCGTACGGATTAAATCCACCTGCAGGGTTTATACAATAATCTTTATGAGTTCCTTAAGGGGACGTCATCAACCTGGATGTCCAGGACACGGTGCCCTAATGCCAATAAATAGATATCATGCACACAACGTTGTTACCCAAGATATGGAGCATATTGAACCAAATTGGTTCTCACCCATGGTAGGTCAAAGTAACAAACAAATATCCCACATATCCAAGTATCACAATTAGAGTTAAGAATTAGTAGAGTCACCGAGACCTTGGTTCTTCATGACAGTCAGAACAGAAGAACACGTCTCATTTGTGATCCTTTCAATGCGACGCAACGCACTAGTATAAACCTATAGCCAAGATAAGCTATATCCAGTTTATACTACAACTTAAACCGATAGTCATGTCCATAACTATCTCAGTTGTGAATACCACTTATATCTTATAAGGGACGGACAATGTAATCTTCTGTGTGACTACCAACACACCACATTGTCTACAATATAAGATAATCGGACATTTAGCATACAAGCAATCATAAAGAAAGCAACAATGTGAAAATATTTATTTAAGTAAAATGGGAAATCGAATAAATACAATCTAAAAGCTCACATAAAAGTTTGCTTTACAGTATACTCCAACACAAGCGAATGTTAGGATATACTGTAAAAGCTTGGCTTTCAGGTTCTAGCAATTCCATTTCAATCCGACGATCATGTTTTAGTCAAAGTATTTATGTTTGCAAGTTTATTTATTTATGCAATCATAATTACCTTTATTTTACATTGTAGATAGTATTGTTCGATGTGTTGAACATAAATATCATATTATCGATTCATTCTGAAATAAATTAAATATTCACAGTCTAGACAGCCTTGAACACTCTGTCGGAAAAGGCTGTAGTATTAATTTGATTCAGTTGGTCTTTGCCTGATGAACTACAATAGTAATTATGTAATGTATTGAATGGACCGCGGAAGGATAAGCTTATTTGAATACTGATCGACTAAATAATCTACACCTTCAGTAATTGATACATACTCTTAAGCCGTAATGTAGTAAACAAGCATAATATATA